CACTGGATTTAGAAACTACATCCAGCTTTTCCATGTAGGCCTACATGTTTTCCTTCCAAGGGTGTTCATATATTTTACATTTTGCTTCAGGATGTTTGATATTGAATGCCTTATGATGTCCTCTGAGGGTACTCTCCTACTCTAAGAAGGCTTTTGTATGCTTTCTATACACTGCAAGAATATTCTAGAAATAAGTAAAAATGGCTTAAATTGTATTTACCCTTAATTTGAATAGGCAAATAAGATTATTTGCCAATGGAATTAGTATTTTTACTCTTAGAATAAGATAATTAGATCATGTGCACTTGAAAGAAGACAATGTAATTGTTTTATTATATAAAACAATTTCATTGTCTTATTTAAATTGTCTTGTTCCATTGGCAAAGTGTCTCACTTACCTCCTCAATCCAAGAAAAAAATGCACTTATTTGGAAAAAAAAATACTTATTTAGATGTCTTTTTTTCCATTGTACATTTGATTTGTGTTTGCATATTTCCTGTGCATTCTGAGCCGGTATATTAACAGAATTTGTTTATGGTTATGGAATGAGAAACAAAGACTCTCAGTTCTTTAGATTTTCGTGCAGAGCCCATCTTCTCACTTCCGATTTAGTGCAATTTGTTCACTGTTCACTTTTTCAACAAATTCAAAAATTGAAATTGAAATTCAAGTTATCAATCAATGGGATTAAATTTATATTCTGTTTAAGTGAGGGATTCATGCTGGTCCATAATCTGATCTGACTGAAGCCATTCTTATATCCTATTGTAGCTATAAAGTAACTAAAAACATTATAATTTAAACTCAATTATTCAATTTATTTGATCCCATTCTATTGCTCCAGTTCTCTTAAAATAACTGCTGTTCTTACTCATAATCACTAATTTCCTCTCTCTTCTCTTTTTTTTATTTTCTTATTTGTTTTATGTGTAAAAATGCTGTTTGTCATTATTGAGGACTTATTATTTCATAACATATGAATGATAAGTTATTGAGTTAAAAATATAAGTTAACATTAATGTTGATAACACAGTTTGTGTGTTAACTGTGGCTAAATTTGGGCCTGCATTTATTTGTAGTTGCATTGAGGTGGACTCTATTACCCAAGATGCTCTTGGAGCAGGAAGAGAAAAAAAAAAAGTTTGTATTGTCGAGCCGACTGGCGCACGTTGTATGTTATTTTTTTCCTTCACCGTTCTTCACTAAAGTTCAACCAAATGAAACTGACCATCTCGCTTCATAATTTTTAGTTGTAAGTCACAGCAGTCATTTAGCTTGTTGGGTTTTGCTTCACAGATGGATGATATGGTGAACGCTGATAAACTTGCACATTTCACAAAGGTTATCATGCATCACTTACTCATCAAACTTGTGGTACCAAAGCTCATGAAATCCAGTATTGCATAATTTATAATTAAATGGTCCAATCTGATTGCTGAAATCTATATATTGTATATCATGTTGAAAAACTAAAACATTTGAGAACACAAGTTATGAGTTTGGGGGCAGTTTCTTACCTAAATTGTTTTTGCAAAGCTTTATTGCCTTAAAAAAAATCCTTTTTTGTAGTTATTCACTTCATCTTTATCCAAAAATATATTTTGGTGTGAAAAAATATGTATTATAAAAATATTTAAGGAGGTAAACACCTTTTCCAGCACTGCTGCTGGGATGATAAAGTTTACATAACATATCCTAACTCATACTTGTTTAGTTCATCTTAGCTTCTTAGACCTGAATATTTAACAGTTATTGAAGCATTTATGTACAAAGATATATGTCAACTGTTAGACTTTTTTTTGTGTGGGTGTTCTGTGTCACTCAAAGTTGCATTGCTTTGCTGTTTTTGTTTTTTGAAGTTAAAGACCGGCACGAAACAGTTCAAGAGGAGGGATGGCGACCGTTTTGATTCCTTGGTCGAGCAGTACAAGCGGAAACTGATGGGTGGCAGTGACAAGAACGCCTCCTTCAAAAGAAATAAGTGGTTTGATGGTTAAATCTGTTTGTCAGAAAAAAAGAAGTGATGCTTGAGTCATTTGGTTTCTGTAATCAGTCATCTAGTGTGATTTCTGAAATCACACATTTTTTTTCAACAATTTGTGATAAATTGTACAGGTAAATTACTCTTTGTATGACAATTTCAGTGCAAGTACATTTTTCTTTTTACTAGTTTTCTATATATCTCTTTTAAAATGATTTTTGAAAATGGCTTTTTCCTGTACATTATTTCCTGTTATGTGATGATTTCGGTCCCATATGTCTTGTTACACTTGAACTTGCTGACTTGATTACAAATACACAGATTTATACTCTCTAAACATATTTTACATGATTATGATTTTCTCTGTTTTGACAATATAAAAACACTGATATGTAAGAAAAGGTTAAATTTTTATTTATAGTATAGTTTATAAAACATTGTTCTCAGTGCAGAAAAAGATATTCAAAATATTCCATGTTTACCTGCATTACAGAAGTTGTTGGTATTGCATAACAATAAAAGTTCCCTCCCTTCACCCTTTCAGTTTAAAAAACATGCTTTGGTTTTGGTTTCCATGAGTGGATCTGGTTGCAGTCTCCAAAATCATTTAGACTTGACTAAACACTCTCACTGAGAGCTTGTCCCTTAAATTGCTTTGATTAAATAAGTAGGAAAATAAATAAATACAAGACATACATATATTCTACATAAAAATAAGTGCCTTTTAAAAATAAAATTAAGATTGTATTAAATTCCACCTCATCATGCTAGTGCAGAGTTTACAAATCTTTGCACATGATAAATGGCCTGCTTTTTAAAGGGCTTTTTATCAAGTTTCATGACTTTAAAGTTCTTCACATTGCAGTAAGTCATTCATCCAGATGTTGCCCCATTATCAAAGGTGTCCATTTTTCAGCAAGATGCAATACTATCAAAATTTTCCTGGAGCAGTTTGAGGATCTCTTTCAAGCCATGGACCGCCATTTCCGTCACGCTTTCAAAAAGGTTAGGGTCCTTCTCCTGGAGGTCGCGCAGCCGCTTGGGAAGTATGATTTCTGGTGTTCTTGCCGTGCAGTTCATCCATTTGTTGGTGATGGTGTTAGCCAATTTAGAGATGTCAGTTTTGACTTGGCTAACATCCATCAAGTTATCAGAGATCGACCTATTGTAGGCTTTCAGGGATTCTACTATGGATGAAAACCCTTGCAGTTCAGTGGGAGGGGTGACAATCAAGTGTTGAGTCGTCTGTAAAATAGCAACAAGAATGTCTTTTAGTTTCAAACAATATGGTATAAGCTTCAAGCTGCACTTAGGATTTGAGCTATATAAACAGAGCTGTGTAACATACCTTAAATTTTTTCAGTCTAACCATTAGTGTTCTTATTATTTGATCAATATTGCTCTTGTCTTCTGGCAAAGGCATTCCTGTACCCACAGTTAGAACATGAAGCAAGGAAAACAGGATCACCCATGTGTAGTCCATAGTCATATTTTCCTATATAAAAATGGGGAAAAAGTCATATTAGTGATTGTCAGAATTAAGCTCTTTCTGTCTTTCACTTTAAAAATTGGATACATTTTGTTTCATTATTGTACCAGCAAATATTTGTAACAGAGATCTCTGGTTTTCCCCAACCTGTAACACGATCAAAGTTCAGACTGTAGCTAACATTTTTTATTTTTTTTTTTATGAGTACCTTTTTGTTTTTTTGTCGTTCGAAAGTATATCAGGCATGATAAAGCAACACCAAATTGTATTTACACAACATGCTTCTGTATAATCTATGAACTAAAGCATCTCAAAATCCAACAAGGTTTTATTCTGATCAAAGACAAATATACTCAAATAGATAAACGGCGCTTGTGATGGTAACAGAGTGGGAAATTCCTTTAAAAGTAAATACGTTTTTTCAAATAGAGGCTGAGAGTGAAACCTTACCTCGCTTGGTGCTTGAATCGTTGACATGGGTTGCCTCCATCAGGGTATCTTATATTAGAGAGCTGTTGAGTCATCTCTTACTCACCTCTTCGAGCCCCCCCACCCCCCCTTACTCACCTCAGCCCATCACTTATCCTGCCTGCCATGAGGCACTGCAGACCTAAAAAAAAAGTTTCCCTTTGCTTTAATTTTACCACATGCTTTGAACTCTTGCTGCATATGTCACTGCATATGGGGATTTTTTTTTTATCTCTAATGTTTGTAAAACCTTCAAATATCGATAATTGGAGGTCAGCGTATCTGTAAAAGATTTGAATTTAATGGAAGACAATTGATTTATTTACTAAGACACTTAAGCAGCCTAGCTTTTGAAATGGTCCTATGCAACAAAGATTGATAGTGTTAATACGATCGCGTTTTTTTTTAGATTTCTACAAAATCTCAGGCTGACATGAGCGCTTGACAAAAAAAACAGACGGCTAAATTCCTGAATGGATTGATATTCGATTTCAGATTGGATGTGATGTGTAATGTGATTTTAATTTATTTATTTAATGTAGAATTTTTTTTTAGCAAAAATCTACATAAAATTACAAAAAGAAATATCTTGGTTAACAGTTCACATCCACAGTTTGAGCTTCGGAAGCCTGCGTGTCCTTTTATAACGTCAAAGACACAGTCCCTTCAAATGCCATCACCATTCATGTCCGTATTATCTTCCCCATTACGCCAATACTTATTTGCTTTAATTTTGTTGTAATTCTGGCACGTCAACTCTGCTTTAATTCTTTACTCTGATACAGATTCTTTAAAATGCAGTTATAGGAAGTCCTCTTATATCTGCTGGGGTGGTGGTAGAAGGTCAGAATGAGCACAGGATATGAAAAGTCAAAGTCTCAGGAGAAAAACTTTGACTAGGACTTTTGCAAAAAGAGCTTTCCAGCACCAACCTAAAGAGATAAGGGCTAAACAGCCAATGACCAGGATGTATGCAGTCAAAAGAACTGTTGGCTGCTGTTTTCTGGCTTTAGACCTGCACAGGTCATTGATGAAAGGAAGGTCAGCAGAAATAATACTAAGTGCATACCTCATAAATAGCTCCAGTTTAAACCTATTCTATTTGGTAGGTGAGCCTAGCCAAACAGAGATGCATGTGAAAATATCAGACTGAGTCGTGATGGATTAGAAATTGCAAGCAGCTCCTGTGGAAGGTTGCCACATGAAATGCAGTCTATATTTAAAGAGAATATATGTGTGGTGACCACCTCTGGTCCTGAGAAGGGATAGTTCTTAGGACCCAGAAATGACCCACAGTTGACAGCGTTGTTGAGGATGCCAAGGAGAAAGAGTTGTTTATCAAGTTGGAAAAGTCACTTTTCCATAGAAGTACACATGAATTTCCTAAGACACAGTAGATTGCTCAATATAGTGTTAGTCAAAGTCTGTGCAATGTATTATAAAGGAAAATAATTATAGCCATGCTTTAAACTTTAGGCTTTGATCATAACCGGCATGTTCCTTTTTTGGGAAATTTAAAGTTACATTTTAAAGAGTACCCGACTTTATGTTTTCAAGTTTCTCTGAATTTAACTTGAAAGCTAATAACAAATAAAAATCAAATTTTATTAGCAATGCCTGGTGTGCAGTTCATATTAAAATTGTCATTCTCAAAGTATTGTTTAAATAGGAAAGATCTGAGACCAATGAAAAGAACAAAACAAAAACCATATGGGGCTATTAAACATTCTTGGACTGGCACCAAAATATGGAGGGAAATATAAGTGGATGGCTTTGAAAAATGCTGTGATATTGTACAACTATAATAACTATAAGCCAAAAAAGAAAACACTATTTTGTATAAAAAATCTAAAATGAGTTTTGGGAGAGAGGGTAATTCATCGTGTCAATTAACAATGCAATAGAATGTGAGTCATGTAAGGGAAAAAAATACAAACTCTGACGCTTACAGATGTTTGTTTTAACCTTTAGGTACGACGTAAAAAGATCTCTCATACCAACTCTAGAGATTTGAGGGATTGATGAACAACAGAAGATGTTTTATTCCACACATCTGGAATGAGTAAAAAATGGCTGTTTTTTTTTTTTAATTCTCGCTTTTTCCACCAGGATCTAACGTCACGCTGTCTGTCTTTAGAGCATCACTCATATCCCAATTAAATGTCAGCTGAAGGGAAAATTTAAGATTGTAAGAAATTTATTTTAAAATAATGTTTATGAGCACAAAAAAAAAGTTTTCAATCAGACAAAAAACTTTTTGGTTTTAGAGTCTAGTTCTACTGGTTCAACATTGCTATGAAGGTTGATGATAAATTATCAAATTCAAAGATACTAGGAGGATTTTTTTTAAGGAAGCCAGATCAGTTGATGTCTGTGTCATTTTGATTGAAATAGAAACTGGAAATCTGTGGTTTTCCATGGTTATGAGTAAGAAAAAAATCCTCGTTGAGGAAAAAGGGTTAACTGTGGGCCTATCATGATAATAAAATGTCAAATGTCATATTGGCGCTATCTACCTTGTATTTTTTTCTGTGAAAATGAGTGCAATGATAAAAGCCCTTTTCCTTTTCTGTTTCCTCTTATTTTGCATCATGCATCTTTTGCAGATCAACTAAAATTACTTGGAAAGTTTACCTTGGGATCAGACTAATTTCTGGATGCCTTTTATCAGCTACAGTCTAGGTCTTCAATAAAAAAATAGAATAATCTAGAAATATGTGGGTTGCAAAATATTGACCTTACCTTTGTTCTTAGAAATATCATATCATGTAATTAATTTGCTTCTTCATAGAGCAGTATTAGAATGCTTGTATAGATGTTTAGGGCAACTTAACTTTCTATCCACCATTATTTAGCACAGCTTATTTAAGGCTGATAATAGTTACTCCAAACAGCTCTTCAGGTTTGGCCGTTTTGACTAAGCGTCACAAAGGTTCTTCTGTAAACATAGAACACTGGTCGAGTTAAAAAAAACCTTCCATTTCAATCTCACTGTTTTTAATTTTTGACCTTCAGCTAAGTTGTTCCAATAAAGGAAATAGGTTGCATATGTGTGTATATGCCGCATTGTTTTGTGCCTTCTTGGAAACCTTAAAGGTGCAGTAGGAGATCTTGGGAAAACGGTTTCAGCAAGCTATATTTTTGAACATACACAACCATGCCTCTCCCTTCAAACCCCTCGAAACCCCGCCTTCAAAACACATGAACGCGCATGCTGTCTGCAGCCCGTCTAGAGCAGCAGGAGCAGCTGCTGGCAGGGAGACAGGCAGCACAAATGATGCAGAGCGCTATGATCACTCCTCTGAAACAGTTTATTAATGCTTAAATTAACTTAAAATGCCTTAATCTGCCGACAAAACATGCTTGCAATTATTATCCTGGTACGCCTCGAGGAGGTGGCTCCGACAGAAATATTTTAAGGCAGGATGGTAATCTGGAAGAACTGACTGCACTGACCATGTTTTCAGGTGGATTTTCTCACTTCAAAATAGATTCAAACAAAATTTTACCCACTAATTACAGCAAATACAACTGCCATTGTTACAGGCAAAGGAAGGATAGGGTAGCTCCTTCCAACGTGCATCAGACCCCATTTTTCCACAGTGCAGCTAGAGCAGTAAAGATGCTTCAGCAGTGCGTCAGAACTAAACTTGTACAAGCATAAAAAATAAAGCAGCATGCACATTTTTGCTGCTCTTGCTGCTTTTGGTGTGAATAGGGTAAACAGACATCCTCTTTTTTTGCGGACATGTCCTACTTTTGGCTGGCCGCTGGGTTTCCCGCACCTGCCCCAAAGCTCAAAGCTCCGTTCCAATGCCCGGTCCGGTCCAGCAGCCTCCCTCCCAAAAAAATGCCCTCCTTTTCAGAAACCCACATCTGGTCACCATAGGTGTGAACGTAGCATATTAGTGGTTAGCTTCCAGCCATGGCGTCTTGCACTAGCATTGGGGGGTCGATTCTTTCATGTGTCAGGGTACGCATACAGGGGGGAGGGACAAGCAGACGACCATGATTGACGTGTCAGGAACCAATCGTGTACAACGGACCGTCTTTTGTGATTGGTTGGGGTTATTCATTGATTTCTCACAGTAGCGGGGAACATTTATTTTAGTTTCATTTCCTGACCTTCTATTTCACTGCTTGCTAAGCGGCTGTGGGGAGATCTTTAAGCCACATGGTTAAAAAAGCGTCAGAAAAGATCTCCTGATTATATATACTTTTCCCTTGTTTCAAAGGTACATCAGTGCTGCTTGTGTGCAAAAAGCATTTCTTAAACTGATTTATCTGGCTTGCAATCTGCTTCGACAACATTTCCCTTCCCCCTGCTGAAGAATGGCTTAACCACCGAGTGATGCAGAGAGATTTGTTTTGTAAAAAGTATGGTAAGCAGCTGTGTTTTGCTCCCTTTACTCAGGCTCCCCTGCTTCTAAGTCTGAATAGAAGAGGTCATGATCGAAATAGAGTTCAGGGGGATTGAATACTTTTGCACTGCATTGCCAAGCTTTATTGTTCAGCTATCTAATGCAAGTGTTGACAAAACTGAGGGAGCTGACATTTAGAGAGAATTAATTTGGTCTACTGTAAAAACATATTTAAGTGACTGGTTTTGTAGCCATTTTCTTAAAAAAAAAAAAAAAGAACATAAGACCCAGGTAATAGTTTTCATTTTCTCAGGTTTCTCTTGCATCCTATTGTGATTAGTTTTAAAAGCTGTGAAACATTTGAACATCTGGCTTTGCAGGCCTCCTTTGATGTTTGAATAAGTCCAATTTTATTCCTGCTGGACAAGAGGTCTGCCACGTACGAATAGGCGAGCACTTCAAGCCTCATTAATATTTCATGAGTACAGTAGGTCACATGACTTATTGGAATGATGAGTCACACCAGACGAGTGTGTTACTCTTAAAAAACTGAACAGCATCACTTAAGATAATCCTTCAACGTTGAAAAAGTGAAATTATGGTACCAGTAAGTTACATAAAAATCTGTGTTTATCATGGTCTACTGAATCAAGAAAGTAGCTGAGTGAGCTGTCATAGGCCGTACACAACATCAGGGTAA